AAATCCAGATCCAAGAAGGCGTTCCCTAAAGAAAAGAAGTAAAATGAAAGTTAGTAACGTTTCCAAGACAAAAAAGGAAGAATTTTGCACTTACTGTTTGAATTCAAGCCGTTCAAGTCGAAATTTGGAGTATAAGATCCAGAAGGAGAGAGGGAGAGAAGGGAGAGAGAGAGAGAGGGAAGAGTATGTGTGTGTGTATGTGTGTGTGTATTGAGTGTATGTTAAATGATGTAATACGTAGATTTATCGTTATTGTAAAAAAAATAAAAAAAAAATTTATACTTACTTAAGTTGAATTGACCGTCCAATTTATTCACCGAATATCTAATGATCCATCTGGTCAATCCAGTAATATAAACGGATCAATCCGAATCTGGTCAAATTTTGGATGGATGACCAGATATCCAGATTGATCGAATTTGAAGCACACCTCTATTTTGGATAATATGACTGAATATTTTGGAGCTTATAGAACATATAATCAATTTCCTTATATTAGTGCAGAAAAATGGCGAGTAATCATAATCAAAATCATTTAGAATGTGTAAATAAATTAATCATTGCTCTTGAATTATTATCAAATTATGTTAATCAATTTGTTAAAGAGAATTATAATAATTTATACACAAAATTAAGCAATTTTTCTTAGGATTCATTTGCACCAAGATCTTTTAGAATTTTTCCAATGATTGCTATTAATTTTAACACAATAAGTAATTTTTATTGGGATGAAAAAGATGAAGAAAATTGTTTTTGTATTTTAATTACTTTAGAAGATTATGAAGGAGGTGAATTATGCTTTCCTCAACTTAATCTTATAATACCTTTAAAACTAGGACAAATTTTATTATTTTGTTCTCGTTTATTATTATATGAAAATTGTATTTTAACTAAAGGTATTAAACATAGTATTATCTATCATTTACATAAAGTAATAATAAAACAAGAACAATCTATGATTAAAAAAATTTATAATGATTTTGAAAAAAAGATTGAAAGAAATAACAAAGAAAAGATTATTGATAAAAATCCTAAACAAAATCTTTTTAAA